GGCTTGGGTCAAGCCATCAGTATTGTCCAGGTTCTGTGAAATAATGGCTGGAAATGCAAAGTTTCATCTGTTCTAGGACAAAATTCTGGCTCCCTGCTGGCACTGTCACCACTGGCTCAACATACTCCCTTGCTGGCCTGGTGCTTTTCTTCTAGAAAGATGAAGGTTCCCCAAAAACAATTCCTAGTTTATAGAATTGGTCCCATTACAGAACAAATCACTCAGTTCCAGAGCACTTAGAGCCATCACTAGGTGGAGTTTCACTCATTTCCAGAGCACTTAGAGTCATCACTAGGTGGAATTTCACTCATTTCCAGATCAGAAGCTCCCTTTGATGTATGACTGATGGGACTTGGTGACCCCAGAAAATCCTGCAGGTGGGTGCTGATGTGGAATAAGTTAGGAGAAAAAAAACCTTGGTGGCTTGTAAACATGGTGTTGGCAAATCATGAAGTTTGAGCTTCAAAAGCTGCTGGGATAAAAAGTGACATTTTTTTTGGTTGTTTCATGCAGGAAGGGGGGGAAAAATTATTAATAATTAAAAAATAGGCTTGTCCTACATCTTATATGACCTGAATCAGAAATGGCCAAATGTCAGGAGGTTGCAGCTACCACACAGAAACTTCATTTATCACCAAAAGGAGAAAAAAAAGCTCCTTCATCCTGAGATCAGCCCTGGCCTAACTGCACCATTTCCTTACCCAGCCTTGGTTAGGGAGCCCCAGCAGCAGGGAGTGATGATTTAGTCCCTCTTGTTACCTGAACTGTGGTGGGGCCAGACCACACAGCTTGGTTTTTTTTGTTGTCCTGCACTTGGATGGCACCAAGTTCAAGGGTGTCCTGACCCAGAGTATTGCAGTGGTTGTCAGGATGGTGCTGACAGTGATAAGGGAAGTGATAAGGGCAAAGTTTCAAGGTGGGGATTTTATTTATATATATATATGTTTAAGCTGACTCATGTGAGAAAAATCAAAGCAAACTCAATCAGTTCCCAGTGATGTGAGCCCCTCTTCAGGTCTGGAACAGCAGCATCAGATCTCAAAGCTACACATGGGATGAAGGACAACTCCTCAGAACTTGAGCCAGGAGGGATCAGATCCTTTCCAAAAGGAAAACTAGTGGGTGTTTGTGGGATACAGGCAGTGTCAGTCCCAGGGAGAATGGGGATAAGTGAGGCATCTTTGGGGGCAAGGAGAAAGCCCATGGCAGGGGGGCTGGAACCTGATGATCTTTAAGATCTCATCTAATCCAAATCATTCCAAGGTTTCTAAAATGTCTCTATCCCCAAAAACAATTCCTAGTTTATAGAATTGGTCCCATTACAGAACAAATCACTCAGTTCCAGAGCACTTAGAGCCATCACTAGGTGGAGTTTCACTCATTTCCAGAGCACTTAGAGCCATCACTAGGTGGAATTTCACTCATTTCCAGATCAGAAGCTTCCTTTTGATGTATGACTGATGGGACTTGGTGACCCCAGAAAATCCTGCAGGTGGGTGCTGATGTGGAATAAGTTAGGAGAAAAAAAACCTTGGTGGCTTGTAAACATGGTGTTGGCAAATCATGAAGTTTGAGCTTCAAAAGCTGCTGGGATAAAAAGTGACATTTTTTTTGGTTGTTTCATGCAGGAAGGGGGGGAAAAATTATTAATAATTAAAAAATAGGCTTGTCCTACATCTTATATGACCTGAATCAGAAATGGCCAAATGTCAGGAGGTTGCAGCTACCACACAGAAACTTCATTTATCACCAAAAGGAGAAAAAAAAGCTCCTTCATCCTGAGATCAGCCCTGGCCTAACTGCACCATTTCCTTACCCAGCCTTGGTTAGGGAGCCCCAGCAGCAGGGAGTGATGATTTAGTCCCTCTTGTTACCTGAACTGTGGTGGGGCCAGACCACACAGCTTGGTTTTTTTTGTTGTCCTGCACTTGGATGGCACCAAGTTCAAGGGTGTCCTGACCCAGAGTATTGCAGTGGTTGTCAGGATGGTGCTGACAGTGATAAGGGAAGTGATAAGGGCAAAGTTTCAAGGTGGGGATTTTATTTATATATATATATGTTTAAGCTGACTCATGTGAGAAAAATCAAAGCAAACTCAATCAGTTCCCAGTGATGTGAGCCCCTCTTCAGGTCTGGAACAGCAGCATCAGATCTCAAAGCTACACATGGGATGAAGGACAACTCCTCAGAACTTGAGCCAGGAGGGATCAGATCCTTTCCAAAAGGAAAACTAGTGGGTGTTTGTGGGATACAGGCAGTGTCAGTCCAAGGGAGAATGGGGATAAGTGAGGCATCTTTGGGGGCAAGGAGAAAGCCCATGGCAAGGGGGTTGGAACTTGATGATCTTTAAGATCCCATCTAATCCAAACCATTCCAAGGTTTCTAAAATGTCTCTACATGTCTCTATATGGATATATCTATATGGATATTTAAAATCTCTACATGGGGTGGTGTGTGTGGTGCATATAAACATGTATTTTGCTTACTTTAAGTCCCTTCTGCATAAAGCTCATCTGTGTTACACTTTGTGTGTGTCATCATGAAATGAAGAACTTGCTGACCCATCGATCTGCTTCATCTCAGCACTTGAGACCTCCCTGTGGTGCTGAAGCCAGTTCTGGGGTCCCCAGCACAGGAAGGGCTTGTTGGAATGAGTCCAGAGGAGGCCACAGAGATGATGGGAGGGCTGGAGCAGCTCTGCTCTGGAGCCAGGCTGGGAGAGTTGGGGTGTTCAGCCTGGAGAAGAGAAGGCTCCAGGGAGACCTTAGAGCAGCTTCCAGAGCCTGAAGGGGCTCCAGGAAAGCTGGGGAGGGACTTGGGACAAGGGCAGGGAGGGATGGGATGAGGGGGGATGGCTTTCAACTGGAAGAGGGGAGATTTAGGTGAGACATTAGGAAGAAATTCTTTGTTGTGAGGGTGGTGAGAGCCTGGCCCAGGTTGCCCAGGGAAGCTGTGGCTGCCCCAGCCCTGGCAGTGTTGAAGGGCAGGTTGGATGGGGCTTGGAGCAGCCTGGTCTAGGGATGTGTCTGTGCTCATGGGTGATCTTTGAGGTCCCTTCCAACCCAGCCCCTCCTGTGATTCTATAGTTGCTGGTTTATTTCCAAACTGCTGGAAAACAAATATGTGTCCAGAAGTGCTGAAAAGGGTCAGTGCTTCCTCCTTTGTAATTCACTAAGTGTTGTCCCAGCTGCCAGGGCTGCCCCAGACCACGTGCAGAGTTGCTCCAACCAAGCACTGGGCCTGGCCAGATGTGCCTGGAGGTGCCACCATCCTCTCCAAGCCAAGGCTGCATGGAGTGCAAGCTCCAGAACTCAACACAACTTGATGAGCAGATGAACTCGGGTGTCCAGGGCTCCTGGTGCAGCCACTCACCTTCCCTAGAGCCCACAGATGTTTGGTGACCCCACCAGTCACCTCCTAGCCCTGCTTCCCAGCACGTGGGCTGTGACTTGGCTGGATAACCTCCCTGGGGTGCCAGGAGGTGCCCAAGAGATGCAGCCCTGAGCACCATGGTGGGAGGGCTGCTGTGCACCAGCTGCAACTCCTCACCTGCCTCTGACTGGTGAGGAATGGCAAGAAGAAGGCTGGGAAGAGGAGCAGCTCAGCCTCTTCCACATGCCTGTGTGCAGAAAGACGTGCAGGAGGAGGTTTAGGACAGTAAGTTCATCGTGGGGAGGGTGGAATTAGGGCCAGGAGCTTGTGTGGGGGCACAGGCAGGGGGCAAAGCAGCTGCCTGGAGAAGGTGAGGGTGGGAGGGGAGGGGACTACAATTGGTACCAGATGCCACCAGAAGCTAATGACCTGACAAACGCTGTGCTCGTAAACCAAATTCTTTCAGAAGGAAGCAAAGGGAAATCCAAGCTAGTGAAAGAATTTGCAGCAGCTGCCCTGAAACCATTTCTCACTTCATAAACAGGTCTGCAGTGAAAAAAAACAAAACAGCCCCTTTCTTCTTGTTCTCCTTTGTGGTGTCCCCCCCCCTCCTCCCTGTGCCCACCAGCTCTTTCAGGTTTCTCCTGTGTCTCTGGCTCAGTAGGCTTGTCCAGAGCCAACAGCACGTTGTGTTCCCTTCATGTCCATGTTGACATCAACTTCTGTGTCTTCATTTTTCCCTCTGTGTCATTTGTGGGGTCATTTTGTGCATCTTTGGCTGGAGAGGGTGAGTCAATGTGAGAGGTGAAGGTGGCCTCTGCCCTGGTGAAACACCCCAAACCTGTTGGCAGCTCCATGTGGAGCAGGGGGCAGAGGGGGGAGGTGTTTGGATGCCATTTGGGAAACAATTGGGACCACTGTCCCCTGGTTGGCCCTCATCTTCACTGTGGGTCTGTTTGTGATGCTTAATGAACCAGCACCTCATGGCTGGTCCTTGGTGGTGAGAAACCATCATGTGGTTTCCAAGTGATGGGAGATACATGGTCGTGTTCCCAAGGAGCTGATGTCAACATGCACAAGCTTGAGATGCTGGGTGAGCCTGTGGAAGACCAGAGCTGCTGAAGCCCATCAAAGCAGAGAGGGAAGGTGACCAGAGCAGGGTGGAGGAGGAAGAAACCACAGCATGTCCAGCTTCTGCCTGGGCATGGAGATCAAGCAACTCAGCTGCCAAGGTCTCAGGGGGGCACTGCTTGTAGTTGGAAGAACATCTCATCATGAGTGGTTCCCTGGTGTCTGCAGAGGTTTATTCTCCAGCTCAACCTTTTCCTGTGGTTGGGGACTTCTCTGTGGAATCTCTGATGTCTAATACAGGGGTTAGGCACCAGCAGAGGTGATAGGAAGGGTAGGGTTGAGGCTGAGCCAAGGCAGAGCTGGGTAAAAGGAACCTTCTGGACATCATCAGGAGAGTTCAAGCCTCGAAGAAGCTGGAGCTGAGGGATGGGTGTGCATCTCTGTAGGCATCTGTGGCCTTCTGAGCATCCCACACAGATGCAGGAGTACAGAGAGTCCTTCCTTCTTGCAGAAGGCCTGGAACTACTCGCTGATACCTCCTCTGCTTTTCCCTGCAGCTGTGTCCATGGTCCCTGTGCAGGATCAGGAAGCTGCACACGCCCACTGCTTGCTGATGCTGCCACCCTCAACTGCACCTCTGATGGTCCAAGGCACATGGTGTGCATCGTGGCCTGCAAAAGGGGCTTTGTCCTCCACTCCAGCAATGGGAAGAGCTTGGGCTCCACGCAGGTGAGTAGACCTCAAAGTGGGGGTGGCCTCTAGTGAAGCAAGGTTTCACCACCCTGAGGTGGTTGGGGTGACCCCAGGACACCTTGTTCCTCCAGCCCTGACCTCCTCACTTGCTCTGCCAACACACCTCAGCCCAACCTTTGTGCTGATGTTCTGGGGAGCCCTCTACTTCCCTCACTGCAGACCCTCTGTCTGGCCCAGCCTGGTGCTGCCTGCAGACCTTGGCTCTGCAGGGAACATCTCCAGCCAAGGCAGCACATTCCCCCAGAGGGGAGAGGTGGACATTTCTGACCTCTGGTTGGGCGTTGCTGGGAGAGTTAAACACCCCAGAGGTGTTTTTTTCTCTTAAAGCTGGAGTTAGTGGCTCAGGAAAGAATGAAGTCATTGCAGAGTGACTTTATTTAGAGGCAGTTGGCAGCTCTGGAAGCTTTTCTTCCTTTGTGCTGTGTTGCAACAACACTGCCCACAGCAGTGGGGCACCACAGAGGTCACCAGGAAAGGGTTTGTCCTGCTTTCCAGAGGGCTGGGGATGCCCCATCAAAGCTGCAAGCCAGGACAGCTCTCAGCTGTTGGCCAAGGAGACCTGGGAATGATGTGTCCTCAGGAGCTGAGCTGCCTTGGGTCTGGGTAGTCACCTTCACAGGGTGGTGGGCAGAGCATGTCCCATCCTTGGGCTGTCCCTAGAGTGGTGGGAACAGGAATCTCCAGGATTGAGCTGGTCCCTGCACCAGCCTGAGTGAGAAGATGAACTCACATGGGATGGAGACACATGGAGGTGAGTCAGTCCACATCACAGCATCAGAACCAAAGGCTGGTTTGGGTTGGAAGGGACCTTAGAGATCGTCCAGTTCCAACCCCCCTGCATGGGCAGGGACACCTCCCACCAGCCCAGGTTGCTCCAAGCCCCATCCAACCTGCCCTTCAACACTGCCAGGGATGGGGCAGCCACAGCTTCCCTGGGCAACCTGGGCCAGGCTCTCACCATCCTCACAGCAAAGAATTTCTTCCTAATGCATCTGGCTATTAATTACATGTCAGCAGGGTGGACCTTTTGTCTACCTGGAGAGTTGCAAGGGCTGGTGACACCTGGCATGCAGGTGTTGTCCTGTGCTGCCAGACCAGGTTGTTAGACCAGCACCACCTGTTCACATGAAGCCTGTGGGTCTGTCTGATGGGGCTTTGCTTTTCCCACAGGAGGAGCTGGTGCTGACGTGCAGCTCAGGACGGTGGGACCGGGCTGTGACTTGTGAGCCTGTTGACTGCAGGGTCCCTGACCAGTCCCACGTGAATTACGCCGAGTTCTCCTGCCCCACGGGGACCACCTTCCTGAAGAGCTGCTCCTTCTCCTGCACCCCCCCAGCCAAGCTCCAAGGTATGGTCTGGTGTCCTGAGGGCTTCCAAGTCCTTCTTGGTACCCCCTTTCCATGCCTGTTACCCTGCATGTTCCTGGTTATCCTGCCAGCCCAGGTGGCCTCTTGAGAGACCTCCTGAAATGGTTGGGTATCCATCCCCCTTGACTGGGGACACCATCACATGAGAAGGCTGCCTCTGCCTCTGATCCCTTGGCTGGCAACCCTTGTCCATTAACCTCAGAGTGTAGGGTTTTTAGCTGGTGAGCTCTGGCAGCCCTCCAGCATGATGGGGATGAGCCAGGCAGCCAGCTCAGACAGATGGAGAGGACTTCAGAGAGCTAGAAGTGGCCCAGTGCCTGGTGGCTGTGGGAAAGCTGGTGGTTCAGGAGGCTTGGGGCTGTAGAAAGCCATAGACACTGATGCCTAGAGCTGCAGAGCAGGCTGGGGGAGATGTTCACCACCCAGACACGGCCCCACAGCCTGGCTTTCATTCTACCAACTCCATCAATAGCCACAGGAATGTTTTGAAGCCAAGGCAGAGAAAGAGCTACTGTTCCTGTGTGTGCAGGGCTGGGCTGGACAGGATTTTGGGGGTAATTGCCTTGACAGCTTCAAGCTTTGGGACTTGATGTGAGTTTCCACCAGTGCTTTTGCTCTGAACAATTGCCTACAACAAATCATTTTAATAGGTGCCCTGTTTTATGGAGACATTTATAGCTGAAGCTTATGAAAATAAGTTACTTTTTCAAAAGTTAAATCTAGGAGCAAAAAAAAAACCTGTAGGGAATTAAGGTCTTGCATCATGTTGGGGGTTGGGGGAGGTGCCAACAGATCCCCAGCATGAGCTGGTCAGAGGGGAGTGTGGAATGATGACACCCCAAATTCTGCATGAAGCAGACTGGGGTGGGTCAGCTGAGGACAAGGCTTTTATCTGATGCATCACTTACATCTTCTTGTTCCTGCTAAAGTCAATGGGAGGTTTGCTAGGAGCTCCCTTGGTGGGAAGGCATCCCCTTGGTGGAGTGTCCTGGGTGACAACTGCCCAGAGAAGCTGTGGAAGTTGTTCAAGACCAGGTTGGATGGGGCTTGGAGCAACCTGGGCTGGTGGGAGGTGTCCCTGGCCATGCAGGGTGGGGGGCTGGAACTGGATGATCTTGAAGGTCCCTTGCAACCCCAAGCATTCTGTGCCATTCAGCAGCTGCCCTGAGGGCTGGTGGCACCCAGCCAAGGCTGCTGAGCCAGCAGCTCAGCTCCCAGAGGTCCAGCTCACTCAGCTGAGCTGGCTCTGAGCAAGGATGGGCCTGGTGCTTGTTCTCCCCAAGGGCTGGCATCCTTGTAGGCACACTCTTGAGGATAATAAATGCTAAGAACTGGCAAGGGAACCTGCTGGTCCAAACCCCTCAGTAGGAAGAGCCCCATTCAGTCCAGCCCAGCTTTATTTCTTGCTCAGCAGTTCCCAGTGAAGCATCCATCAAACACACCATGTGGGTCTTCCAGTCCTGGACACCTACCACAGAGCTGTGCAGTTCTGGCCACCCATCAGCTGGGTGCCATAATACTCAACACAAGCCTTTCTAATAGTGGGTGGTTTGAATTCCCAGTCACACCAGTTCAGGTTCCCACGTTTGTTCTCCTGGCACTTCCCATCTCCTGCT